CCAGAGACTCCATCAGCCTGAGACCAGAAGAACTAGATGGTGCTTGGCTACCACCAATGACCGCCCTGACAGGGAACACAACAGAGAGTCCCTTAAGGAGTAGGAGAAAAGTGGGATGCAAAATTCAAATTCTAGTAAAAAGACAGGACTTAACAGTCTGACTGAGACAGAAGGGACCCCGGAATACATGGCCCCCAGAGTCTCCATTAGCCCAGAACTGAAACTATTCCCAAAGCCAACTCTTTAGATGTAGATTAGACTGGACTGTAAGACAAAAAATGATGCTCCGGAAGAGAGTGCTTCTTAGGTCAAGTAGATACATGAGACTAAATGGGCAGCTCCTGTCCAGAGGTGAGATGAGAAGGCAAAAAGGGACAGGAGCTGGTTGAATGGATGCGGGAAATCTGGGGTCGAAAGGAGAAGTGTGCTGTCACATTATAGGGAGAGCAACTAGGGTCACATAACAATGTGTGTATAAATTTTTGTATGAGAAACTAACTTGAACTGTAAACTTTCACTTAAAGCACAATAAAAAAAAAGTTTTATAAAACCTGCCAGCTTTCTGAAAATTTATCAACAGTGGGTCATAGGGCCATTTTTAATAAATACATGAAAAGAAATTTTTTCTGATATAAATTCTATCAGATAGTTTCAAACTTTCACTAGAGTGGAAATGCCAGTAAATTAATATTTTGTCAATTCAATATTTATAGTTAGCCAAGTATTGTATAATAAGTAATTTTTAAACAAATATCATGGAAGTTTACAGATATAGGAAATCACTTACAAGCTGCTCAGATTTTACACCGTATAACTGGACAGTCTTTGCCACGTTTTTTGACACAGCTAAGGTGAGGTTTACATCAACAGCAGCTATATTTAGTTCACTGGAGAAAACAAAAACAGATTTTAATTATTAGCAATGTCGTTCATCAACAAAGAGCAACATATAAACCTAAAACCAATAAACAATGTGATAATTCTGTTTTCAGATTTCACCTATTGCTTTCAAGAACTGGTTTTATTGTTTCATTTTTTGCCCTAAATTCAGCATAAGGAAAAAGTGCTTCTGAGATGGCTTTGTTAATGACCAGTTTCTCATCAATGAAAGCACACCATGTGTGGCTTCAGGCTGTGATTAAGAGAGTAAATTGTGTACAGATTTTTAAAGTAGCACTGTTTCTAATACTGATAAGTGCAATTAGAGGCACTGCATATCACAGACATCTGCAAGGAAATGACAGCTCTTGAATGAAAATGATGACCTTGGAGGGACACAGGCTAAAAATATGAATTACACATGATACATAGAGATACTTGGTCTCTGCAGAAGTTTTGTCATCTCATGCTATTTTCTACAGAGTAGCTTTTAAAATATAATTTGAAATAAAAAAAATTAGATTCTTAATAGAAATATTTCTTTGTCATGTTTATTTTCTACTTTAACACTGGATTAATTGGGATATTTGATCTGACTGAGGAGCCTGGTAGCACAGTGGTTAAGTGCTTGGGTGTTAACTGAAAGGTCGGCAGTTTGAACCCACCAGCTGCTTCATGGGTAAAAGATGTGACAGTCTGCTCCGATAAAGATTACAGCCTTAAAAACCATATGGGGCAGTTCTACTCTGTCTTACAGGATCACTAAGAGTCAGAATCAACTGAATGGCAATGAGTTGATTTGGCTGCCAAGAAAATATTTTACAAAGGCCATGGAAAGAATACCATTAAAATTAAAAATTGCATGAAAACTTATAAATAAGTGGCAAAGCAAGGAAAGTAATTACTGTCTCTAAAGTAGTAGAATAAATCTTGACACTGACCAGGTTCTCTTGCTGAAAAAGGTGAAGGAGTTTGAAACAACACTAGTGCATACCACATGTGACAAAAAGGACCTTTCATACAGTATTGAGACATGGTTTTATTCATAATCAATTTTAATTCCATTAAACATTAGGATAAGTATGCTTCTTCAACCTCCAGATTATATTTGATTACAGCACCCTCAAGCTTCATAGAACAGGGGAAAGAAATCAAGCTGAATCTAGGACTATTTTTATCACTGTCATACCAAACAGGTAACAGAGAAATAAGGATTAAAAAATCTACAGTCAGGACTTTGGAAAGTCAAGATAACTGGAGAAATTCAGGACCAAGTTGCTGAGCAATTTAAACACTTTATAGATATGTTTGCAGTTGAAGATATGCTTATGTATATTATAACTGTGGCTTTTTATTCGAACTCTCCATGCCTCAGAAATACATTTGCAAATTTGCAGTCTAATGGAATCTAGATAGTTCTACACATTGGTCCTATTGTGCAATTACTATTTTTACTTCACAAAATGTCCATCTACAAATGCACAGCCCTACTATTATAACAACTTGTTAGCTATGACAGAAACTGAGACAGTCTCAACTGCAAATTAATCTGGATAACTGTTAAGTGTAAACGTCTAAAGACAACAGTATAGCTACATTGTCTGCAAGCATTCCGGTGGCACCTCTGCTAGGATACCTTCAATTTTTAGAGTTTTAGGAGCCGTCATCTTCACTTAGAAAACTTAAAATAGCAAACATAAGTAGACTAATCAGGATTATAATCCTGTTTTTGCCATGAAGCACATTCACCTTTATGTTTTAGTTTCTCAATTTGTAAAATTATTTTTATACTTGCTTTGCTTACATAATATTAGGAATTTATTATGGTATTAAAAAGTCAGGTTTACTATGTATCCTTAGCAAGATACAGAATGATTATAATAAACTATTTTTAGACTGTATTTAAATGGTTTTATTAATTGGAATCTCAAGTACTTACTACATGGGCACTCATTCACTGGAAAACTCTTGATTTAATTGCAGGGCTAATTATTTGAATAATTTGAGATGAATTAAAAATGCAATGCCACCATACTTCACTAAAAATTGTGGCAGGCATTTTATGGCATGCTATTGTATAAAAAAGTACATACCTTGCTATAGTTTTAATGATACTGTCAAGCTCATCAGAGGAAGGAGGATTATGACCATTAGGTGGAAAAACCAAGTTGATAGGATCAAAGAGTCGCGATAAGGATTTTGATAGATAAGCAGCTTCGTAGGGTTGCAGTGAGTCTTTCAAAGCCTTTTCTGGACTGTGGGAACAAAATTTGTAAATAATAAATTATACAAAACTAAATGGTATCGTATCAGGCTGTAAATACCCTTTAAAAAAATTATCTCCTATATAAAACATAACTCTAAATTAACAAAAAGAAAAGAATTTAGGTTTTAAAATGTATAAATATATTTGCAAATAAATTTCACAATGAAACACTTATTAAGGGCTATAAAAATATTTCAATTTAAATATAAGTCCTAGCTATGAATATCATGTAATATGCACTAATGCCTACAGTATCAAGTCTGCTATTTGAAACTAAAAGAAAAATATAGTAAAATCTTATTAATTATAATAGGGGCTTTGCCTTTACTTAGCAAGTCCTATCTTAATAGAATGTCAAAGCATACACAACAGAGGCAAGTCTTAAGAGACCTGCTCTACTAGCTCAACATTCTTCCCTTTCCACCCACAACTGCCATCTTGCATAAAGTTCACTATCTGTGAGGGAAGTATACAGATCTACATTTTTATCACTCTTCCCATTCCAAAACTATCATTAAGTCACTAACAAGAGTGCAGCATATTTATGTGTGTATGTATTTGTGAAAGTTCTACAATCACATAAATACTTCAACTGGAGTTCTGAGCTTTTTTGTTTTACAATATTCTTTACAAACTAAACTCAGCTTACTAAACGTTTCCCTCTTTACCCTTCCCTATCATCAATAATTTCCGTTGATTCTCACTTATCAGTCAAACAACTGAGTCTTACACTTTTCCACTGACAATTACTATCTAATGTCTATACCAAACCCACTGCTGTTGAGTCAATTCTGACTTAAAGCGACCCTATAGGACACACTAGAACTGCAACATAGGGTTTCCAAGAAGTGCCTCGTGGATTTGAACTGTTGACCTTTGGGTTAGCTGCTAAGCTCTTAACCACTGCACCACAGGGCTCCATAAGGTGATGGCTCTCAAACATACATTTCTAGTTTCTGATTGATATCTAACTGACTTTGAAACAACTCTAATTACATTTTTAATTCAATAGTTTCAAAAGAAAAACCTTAATGCATCACTACCTCTCTTAAAAAAAAACAAAGAACAGTCTTCCAATCTCAACAGTCTTCTGCCAATTTGTCCAGGCATAATCCTTGATTCTTCTCTTTCTCCCACATCTAACCTAACAGCAAGTTCTGTTTGCTTGCCCTTCAAAATATATCTTGAATTAATCTGACACAATTCTTATCATCTTATCTAGTAGCTCAAGCCATTATTATCTCTTGTCTGGACTAGCATAATAGATTGCATTTCCTTTTCCTCTCCTTCATGGCCACCCCGCTTAGCTGTCCACATAGAAGGCAGAGTGCTAATTTTTAAAATGTTTATCAATTTATATCACTCTTCTGTTTAAAACCAATGGTATCTAACTTCATTAGAATAAACTCTACACCCCTGACCTATAAGGCCCTATACGATCTCACATTTCCCTTCCTCTCTGTTCGATCTCATACCTCTCTCTTCCTCATTCACTGTGTTACAGCTGCACTGGCTTCTTTCTGTTTCTGTTTCTAGAACCTCCCATTTCTTTCTTTCTCAGCGCCTCTACGTTTGCTGTTCTCTCTGCCTGTAAGACTCTTCCTCAAAAAATCTCCCATTGCAGACTCCTTCACTTTTTTTAGATCTCAGGTCAAATGTCAACTCTTCACAGAGGGCTTCCCTGATCACCCTATATAAGTCACTCTGTTACATTATCTTGTTTTATTTTCTTCATAGCGATCGCCACTATCGAAAATCCAGTATGAGTACTGGCTAATTGTGACTCTGCTTCTATTCTAATTCCTCTCAGGCCTTGTTCCATTCTTTCTCTCTCTTTTTTTCTCTCATCTCCTATTTCCTTTGCTTTCCACTGGCTACTTTTACCTACAAACACTCTCAACTCTCCCCTATGATTAAAACACAAAAACAAAACTGGGAACATGACTCAGTTAACAAGGTCAAGTTTACATATTCTTCTCTGCCTTACTTCTCAAATGAATGCTTTAGATCCCTTGCTTTTGTTTCCTCTCACTCGCCTCATTTTTTGGCTTCTTAGGATATGGGTCCTGCTTCCTCTTCTCCACCAATGTCTCTACTGAATTTAATCTCCAGATAGTGACAATGATGTCCTATTAATCAACAGTCTTTTACTCAAATACAGTGGCCTTTTTCACCCTGCTTTTTCCCCCTCCGCTGAATTTACTGCATTTTTAAATTACGCAAACAGCATATACTCATTCTAAATAAAAGCAGAAAAATACAAAATAAGAATTCCACCTCCCAGCGATAAACCACTGTTACCATTTGTTATATACCTTTTCAAGTCTTTTTCAATGCAGGCATATGTCTTTAAAATAAAGCTAAGCTAGAACTAGAATGATACTGTACATACTATTCTTATATACCCTTTTTAAAAAACATATCATTAAATCTTTGTAGATTGACAGATATGGTTCAGTCCTCTTGTCCCCTCTTTCCATTGTTGTTGTTATTGTTTGGTGCCATCAAGTCGATTCCAACTCACAGAGACCCCATGTGACAGAGTAGAACTGCCTCACAGGGTTTTCTTGGCCTTAATCTTTACAGAAGCAGATTGCCAGGTCTTTCTCCCACGAAGCTGCTGGGTGGGTTCGAACCACCAACCTTTTGGTTAGTAGTCGAGCACTTAACCCTTTGCACCACCAAGGCTCCTTCTTCTTCCATTAAGCCTTACCTAATCTCCCTAGTTTAGCATGAAAGAGTAATTAAGGAGTCACTCTGGTCTCATTATGTCTTTCCAGCTGCTTCTCATGTCACTTATCCAGAGAAATCCTATATTTTGCCAGTTAAAACTTGTTAGTGTGGATACAAATTCAACTACATATATTTAGAAAATTAAAAGACAAACAACTATTTAAATAGCACACGTGAATCTAGTCAACATTTTTCTCACAAGGTAGGCCATAAGAATCTGCTGTTACTTCAATCTCTCCATGGTAAATATGATACTAGTATTTAAAGACAGATGTGTAAGTCAACTAACTGATCTGGTGCTCAAATAAAAAAAAACATGCAATGCTGTGTTTCAATTTTGTAGGAAAAACTGACTGGGTTGGACTTACTGAGATGGTGTATTGGTTTCCAACATGGCTCCTGAACCAGGATACTGTACTTTATGCATGACTGAATGGATCTTCAGGAGTAAGTCTCACTATATTCAGTTTTGCTTACTTGTTTTGCAGTCATCACCTCTCTTTACTTTATATTCAGTTTTTTCCTAACACATGGATTGAGAATCTATTCCAGCAGAATATTTGTCTCTCCTTTAGTCCCTGAAAATACCAGTTTCTTTTATGCCACATTTATGCCAGTGGCATATCAATAATGATGCTATCTGATGTGATTACAGGTATATCATAATATCAGTTAAAAGACAATAACCACATATGCTCATCTCCTAGCTTCTAGTCACCCTAAGTAGTGTTATACTTTAACACCCTAGCAGGAACCAGATTGTTCAACTAAAGATGATGTTTGACTTCTTCAATTAAGACTTGCAAAGCCTTTTAAGATAAACAAATAAATAACAATAACTACAACAATTTAGATAATTAGCACATTTCCAATCTCTAACTTATAGTAAAAATAAGATAAAAATCCTTAACATGCCGATAAGCATAAGTCCAATTAGACAAACATACTCATAATCTGGCTTTTTTGGTATGAATATGTCTTGTGTATCATCTTCCAAGTGCTGTAGGTCAACATAGAGGTCTGTACTTCCACTTGCATTAAAATTCCCTTGAGTATTTTTACTGTATTGTTGAAGACGCTTCCATAAGTCATTATAAAGACGCAATAATTTAGGGTATTCTCCTTCAAATGCTTGTTTCAGAAACATAGAAGCTGTCAAGCAAAACAAAAACAAGAATTAAATAAATAATAAAACAAGAAAATACAGCAAATAAATGTTTCTTTTGACATTGAGATGATGTGGAAATAGCCAACAACAATAACAGCAAATTTTCCCCCAGACTATTCACAACATTCGGTATGTGGACCATATATTTTAGAACTTGATCAACATAAAAAAAAAGAGAAATCAACAATTATAGTTAAAGAGGTCAATCCCCTCTCTCAGTAATTGATAGAACAAGTAGGTAGAAAAGCAATAAGCATAGACAAGACCTGAACAACACTAACATTCAACTGACTTAGTTGACATTTATACGATATTCTATCCCAAAATAGCAGAATAACACATTCTTTTCAAGTGCACACGAAGCAATTATCAAGACACAATATTTTGGTGCAGTAAAACAAATCTGAATAAATGTAAAAGGCTTCAAGTCATACAAAGCATGTTACCTAACCAAACTGGACTTAGAAGTCAATTACAGACAGATATCTGAAAAAATTCCTAAATATTTAGATACTAAATAACACAGTTCTAAATAACCCATTGGATCAAAAAAGAAACCAAAAGAGAAATTAGAAAGTTTTTAACGGAATGAAAATGAAAGCACATTATATCAAAATCTGGGGCATTTCACCATAGGAGTACTTGGGGAAAATTTACATAAATGCCTATATTAGAAAAGACCTCAGCTTCCACATTAAGCACATAGAAAAAGAGGTACAAATGAAACCCAAAGTAAATAGAAGACAGCAAATAATAAAGATCTGAGTAGATATAAACAGAAAACATAAAAACAATAGAGAAATAATGAAACCAAATACTAGTTGTTTGAGAAAATAAAATCAACAAAATTCTAGCCAGACAGATGAGGAAAAAAGAACAAATTAGCCACATTAAGAATGAAACAGGTGACCTCACTACATATTTTGCAGAAATTAAATGGAAAATAAAGGTATTGTGAACAACTTGATGCCAATAAATTTTATATCATCAATGAAATGTACAAATGCCTTGAAAGAAACACATCACCAAAGCTCACTCAAGAAGAAATAGATACACTGAATAGCCATCTGTATCTATTAAATCAATTGCTTTTTTGGTTAAAGATCTTTCCACAAAGAAAAAACTGCAGGCACAGACAGCTTCAGTGGTGAATTCTACCAAATAATTTAAGGAAAAAATATAATGCCATTTCTACACAAACTTTTCCATTAAATTGGGGAGGAAGGAATAATTTCCAATGGATTCTATGAAGCCAGCATTACCCTGATATCAAAACCAAGACATTACAGAAACAAAACAAAATGAAAATTACAGATCAATATCCCTCATGAATATAGATATAAATATTCTGAACATAATTTAGCTAATCTAGTCCAAAAAAAGATAAAAAAAGATAGATAAAACATCATGACTAAGGGGGATTTAACCCAGGAATTCAAGGTTGGTTTTACATTTGCAAACCCAATCAATATAATTCATCATATTCACAAACTAAAAAGAAAAATCATGTGACCATTTTAATAGATGCAGATGAGGCATTTGACAAAATCCAACATCCATTTCTGACAAAAACTCTCAGCAAACTAGGAATAGAAGGGACCATTCCCAAACCTGATAAAAGGCACCTAGGAAAAACCTACAGCTAATGTGACACTTAACAGTGAAATAGTTAATCTTTTTGCCCTCAAATCAGAAACAAGACAAAGATGTCTACTGTCACCACTTCTATTCAATATTGAAGGAAAGGTTCCAGCCAGTGCAATGGGCAGGGAAAAAAAAAAAAAAAAGACATTAAGATTGGAAAGGCAGAGGTAACACTGTCTTTACTCATGGATGACATGATCATGAATCATGTCCACAGTTCTTCAACTCCCCCAATTTAAATCATATTCCTTTTATTATTCTCTTATGGCAAGAGGCTCTTTGCTTTCTTAGCATTTACCACAATTTTAAACTATATTTGTGTAAAGAATGTTTCTCCTACTTGACTGTAACTTCACATGAGGGCACGGACAATGACTGTTTTCTTTTTTTTAATTTTTTCCCATACAAAAATTTATAGATACATTGTTATGTGACCCTAATTGCTCTCCCCATACTGTGACAGCACACTCTTCCTTTCCACCCCCGATTCCCCACGTCCATTCAACCTGCTCCTAACCCTCTCTGCCTTCCCCTCTCACCTCCGGACAGTAGCTCATTTAGTCTCTTGTATCTACTTGAGCTAAGAGGCACACTCCTCACAAGTATCACTTTATGTCCCACAGTCCGGTCCAATCCCTTTCTGAAGAGTTGGCCTTGGAAACTGTTTTAGTTCAAGGCTGATCGAGAATAAAGGGGTCATGCTTTCCGGGGTTCCTCCAGTCTCAGTCAGACGATTAAGTCTGGTCTTCGTACTAGAATTTGAGTTCTGCACCCCACCTTTCTTCTGCTCCATCAGGGACTCTCTGTTGTGTTCCATATCAGGGTGGTCATTGGTGGTAGCTGGGCACCATCTAGTTTTTCTGGTCTAAGACTGATGAAGTCTCTGGTCTATGTGGCCCTTTCTGTCTCATGGACTAATACTTTCCTTATGTCTTTGGTGTTCTTCATTCTCCTTTACTCCAGGTGGTTGGGACCAATTGATGCATCTTAGATGGCTGCTTGCAAGCTTTAACGATCCCCGACACCACTCACCAAAGTAGGATGCAGAACATTTTCTTAATAAGCTTTCTTATGCCAATTGACCTAGATGTCCCCTGAAAGCATGGTCCCCAGACCC